TTGTTTCAATTCCTGAGCCTGTTGTTTTAGTTTTCCCTCCCCATCCCTAAGGGAGAAGGAGTGAATGAGTGAGTGGCTGCATGGTGCTCAGTTGCCCTCTGGGTTTAAACCATGACTCCATGGAAAGCTTTCCTCTCCAGGAGGAGGAGATTCGTAAGGCACTTTTCTGGTGTGACTTCTTCCATGCTGAAGAAAAGATAGGCTCACACTAGAGCTCTGGTGTGATTCACATAAGTTAATCAACAGGAAACCAATCCTTTGGAAACAAGGTCCCAGCATTTCTGGAACTGTCTCTTTGGCTCTGTGATACTTCACAGCTTATCCCAAGGTGAAAGCAGTTAATGCTTTCCTGTATTAATGCTGGACTTTCCAGAAAGAGGGAAAGACAAGGTCATCATTTTCACCCTCAGTTTTATCCCCACTGAAAAGACTTTGAAAGCATTTGATGTATTTTCAGCAGTATGGTTATATATTTCCTAGCTGTCCAGTATTTCATGGAAATGAAGGATTTGGTTTAGCTCTGTAGTTCACTGAGTTACTATGAAACAAAGTAATTGACTTAATTACGAAGTAGAAAAGATGACTGTTCCTACCACCTATGAAAAGCATTGCTAAGCAATCTTGTCAATAGCTTCATGGTTTTAGGCTCTTCAGAGGTTGATATGATATAATTACACTTAATATGCTTTATTTGAATGAAATTTGGGGGGGGGGGGGGGCAAAGGGACTACCATATTGTCCCTGTATAATCCCTTCTCAGACGATCTACCTTGTACCTTTTAAAGAATACTAATCCTTACAGGTATGTCCTCCAAGAGAGTGTGTGTGTGTGTGTGTCCCTTTCAGAGCAGCTGTGGAGTCGTCTGTTGGGACAGGGCAAAATGCATGTGCTGTGTTAGGTGGTGAATGGAGGGTTTCAGGGACATGAAAGCTTTAGCATAAACTGACCTGGTAATAGCTGTGCATTTTTATAACCTACACTGTGGATCTGTTGAGTGGATTTCTGCATTTAAAAAAAAAAATATTCAAAAAATTCCATTAATTTGACTTTAAAACAGGAGCATATAGGTTTGGGTTTTGTTTTTTTTTTTTAATTTATACATGTTCTATGATCATGTGCCACAATTTAAATTAATTAATTAACTAAATGGAAGTTAATTAATGCTATAAAGCCTAACATACTTTCTGCTTTAAAATCCTGGAAGTTTGATTAACTTTCATTAACTACTTTTATGCTTAGAGATCTGAACTGAGACTGGGGTCCCATCGTATGAAGTGCAGTACAAGCATGCAGCAGGAGACACTATGTACTGTGTGGTTGCTGTAGCTGGCAAGGGATGGGGACAGAGGAGGAACAGTCACAGGAAGGTTGAAAATGCATTTTGTTTTGTTTATGAAACATCCATTAATGCTATTAGTGGCTCTTGCATATTTTCTTGTTATAGAGGAATTTGAATGCCAAATCCCGTTCCCTTTCTCTGGACTATGTTCCCAATGACTTTAGCATTGTGCAAATTAAGTGAGTGTGACTTGGCTCTGCTGATGTCACCATTGCAAATCTGCACACATTAAAGACGAACAGATATATATGTTTTCACTGTTTAGAGCTTTTGTGCTACTTTTGTTCCTTTAAAAGAAAATCCTTAATCGGTGTTTAGTTTAAGGTAAAATGAAGAAAATTGGAAGTAAACTTGTGTTGAAAAAAGCATGTATTGCCACTGATGTTGAGTGCATGCCCCAGAACTACAGGAACGTACATATGTACGTAGTTTTGGGAATGTCGTGCTTGTAGGTTATGCTGATGTGACAGTGGTGGGTGTCTACATGTGTGCTTCTAATCCTGTCTCTCTTCCTTTACGTGAACACCCAATTTGAATTATAACCTTAGGTCCAAATTCAGGCAACTCCACTAATTTCATCTGTGGATTCGTTGTTGCCCAGTACTTACTGAAATATCTCTGAAGGTCTTCAGTTGGCCACTGGAAAATTCAGGGTGTAGGCAATGTCGCTAGCTCTCCCTCTGTCCTAGGAGCAAAAAGCAACAGATCTGATAATGTGATTTAGATTTTTGCTTACATACCCCCCCCCAACTTGGGTCCTTCTGCTTAGTAGCCTTCAATATGGCAATCACAAAATCACCTTCAAGACATACAGTGATCCCCAAAAGATATTAAGGCCACCTGACATCTTGCATTTTTAGATTTTGGTTTTGTATTGCTTGCTCTTGGGAGAAAAAGGAAGGAGTTTCCCAGTGTCCTGGTTTTGTCTGGGATAGAGCTATCTTTTTTTTTTTTTTTTTTTTTTTTTTTCTCCTTAGTAGCTAGAATAGTGCTGTGTTTTGGATTCAGTATGGGATTTGATATAAGAGAAATGTTCATAATGTACTGATGTTTTTAGCTGTTGCTAAGAAATCAAGGACTTTTCAACTTTTCATGTCCTGCTAGTGCGTGTACACAAGAAGCTGGGAGGGAGCACAGCCTAAACAACAGACCCAAACTGGCAAATGGAATATTCCATATTATCTAATGTCATGCTCAGTATATAGATAAGGGTTGATTGGAGAACTGCTCTGGCTTCCAGGATTGTGGTCTCGGGATTCTCTCTTCTCTGGGATCACTAGCCGAGCACAGGCTGGGCATCAGTCAGTGGGTGGTGAGCAATTGCGCTGTGCATTACTCATTTGTATTTTCTATTATTACTATTATTATTATCATTATTATTTAAATTTTATTTTATTTCAGTTATTAAATTCTTTTTATTTCAACCTACAAGTCTCCTTACCCTTCCCCCTCCAACCCTCTCCCCCATTCCCCGGAGGTGGGGGAGGGTGAGCGAGCGGCTGCGTGGTACTTGGCTGCCGGCCGGGTTCAAACCACAACACCCAGAAAAGATTGCATCGCCTTGGGCATAGGCAGTGCTGCTGGGAGAACTGGATTTTTGCTCAGTGTTTGCTGTCACTCAGTTTCTGTGAGATGCTAGCCCTGGCACTTAAACCCCAATTTTTATCAGTGGTAGCTGTGTGGTTATTTTTTGATTGTCTGACTTGAGACTCGTGCTTCTAGCTTGAGAACTGGGGACTTCTGGGAGCTCTGCAGGGTTGGAAGTCCAAATGTCCCTTTAATAAAGGCAACCACTTCACGTTGTCTATTTCTGAACAATTCCAAATTTAACATCATACAAAGCCTTTGTGCCAGTTGCCTGTATCGGGAAGCTTTGTTAGAACCCAGTATTTAGAAATCTTCTGATTTCCATCCTAACCTCAAGGCATGGCTTATTTATATCATCTTGTTCTTGTGTCTGCCACAGATGAAATACTACTTTTCCTCTTCTTTTTGCTAGGCTAAGCAAGCCAAACTCTTGTGAAATAATTTTTAATTTTCTTGGATTATCTAGATAGGTATCACCTTTACCTGCCCCAGCTAGAACTTCCCTTTCTTGAATGTGGTGCCTTAAGTTGTTGGGGACTTGCAGAAATGCTGCGTACTCACTGCAGCAGGTTGAATCAGTGCTTTGGCCATATGAGCTAATATGTATTTATCTGGAAAACCAGAGACAAATTAACAACTTTTTTCACGCTTTTGTTCTCTCTGTGCCTTTGCTTGTTGACAGTAAAACGATGTTCGATGTTGGGGGGTTTGGACTGAATGATCTTTCAGTGTCCCTCCCAATACAAACTGTTCTGTGATTCTAAATGTGGGCAGTAACCCCTGATCTTGCATAGATGCTGTAGGTGTGAATCGATTGATGTTTATGAAGTGTTCAGATGCCGAGGTGATGAGTGCCATAGAATATCCAGTGAGGACTTAATAATCCTGTCATCAGAGCAGCTCTTGGATAAAGCACAAGGATACATGTTGTTCAGTGTGAGGAAAACAAAATATTGAATAGCTCCTTATTAAATGTGTGTTGTCCTTTCTGTGCAGTGAGGGACACAGGTGGTGTGGAAACACAGTATATAGTGGAGTAAACAAAGGCTGCCTCATGATTCATATGAAGAAGGAACTGAATGTAAAAATTTCTATGGCATTCTTTAATGTATTCCCTCACTCATCTATTCACACCCTTTATTTTGACATATACTTGGTGGATGAGTTACTAATATATGGTGTGTAAATCATCGTACTTCTGGTGAAAAGGTTACAGTTATTTAGGTAATGGAGCTTGTTTAAGGTGAGCATTTATTTAATTTTCAGCTTTATTTCTTTCTGAATTTGCTTACATTTTAATTCTTGTTATAATTGAGTCAGTATCTCAGTATCCAGTTTTTCCTACAGTGCCAAATTGAACAATATAGCTACTGCAGTAACAGAAGCAGATTTACACTTCTAAGAAAGATATAGCATATCATTTACTAAAGTTGCATTAGAGATAGGGGAGTTATCCAGGGAGAGAAAAATGGAGGAGTTGGAAAAAGAAACTCTTTCATGGGGATTGGAGAGTAACAAAGGTACCAGACAGAGACAGCAGTTGTGATTATTCTCATACAATCACTGCTGCTTTTTCATTTCACCTTAATCTTTGCCGATTTTGCTTAAATTGTTTCCATTCTGCAACAATTATCCAGACAGGCAGAGACATCTGAAAAGTACAAAGTTTTTAACAAAAACAGCAGCAACAAATCTGCAGAAGGCACTGTAAGCCTTTGTTGCTCTGGCCTTCTCAAAGAAAGCAACTGTGTTTGAATTTTCCTAATCCTAGTGCCTTTGTTTTCATGGCAAGACACACTAGGATCCGTGGTTTGTGTTGTGGAGTACTGCTGCCCACAGTTAGAATAGAGTCAAGAGACCAAAACTTGGATTCATGCAGCAGGAACAATTGCTTTATTCTGTATAAGCTAAGGAAAGAGCCTACCAAGGGAAGAAAACCCAAAACCAAATGCATGTCTCGGCACCATATACTTTAGCATAATTTTTATCCATTTTTATCTAAAACTGTACTGATTTTCTTCTTTCTTTGTTTTTGTTGTTGTTTTTTTTTTTTTTTTTTTTTCATAATACCAGTTTGGAAATTGATTAAAGAATCTCCATAGAATTCAATATGGCATCAAAGCAGTCATCTCCTTCTTCAGAGGAGCAGGCTTCCTCCGAAATAGATGATCTCTGTCTGTCGCTGCAAGGTAAGTTACTGTAGTTTTCTGTGCCTTTTTAATGTAGGTTTTTGGCAAAAAACTGTGGACAATTTGAAGGGAATTATGAGAAACCTGTTAAAACTACTGTTATGATCAGTGTAGTTAGTTTGTGCTTCTTTGCAGATGTTTCTGTGTTTCATGAGAGGCACTTCAGCAGTGAAATGAAAGATAACAGCTCCCATAGTACTTCTCTGGTGGTATTTTCAGATCTGTTGCCTTCTTTGGTACAGATGTGCTTGCTGTTTCTTATGTTTTGTTATTCAGAATAAATGTTACTGTAAACTGTTTTCAAGGGAACTACCATCATGAAAACAGTTATGCCATTTCATTAGTTTCCTTGTTTTCAATTTGCTGACAATTAGGTGGTTGCATTAAGCTGTCTTAATGAGGCTATTAACTACAGTACTATTTTATTTGGTTTTCTGTTGTTACCTATATCCTCTGCAAGAGTAAAAGCTGGCTTGTGGCCAAAACAAGTAGAAAATTTTTGTGGCTTCTAACCAAATTTCTTACAGGTCAGAGTCTTTCATCCTTACTTGCAATGAGTTATAACTTGTTAAGGAAGCGCTCACTGGCTGATTTTTAATTGTTCCAATTTAATGGCAGCTACCTGGAAGTTAAGTGATAATGAGTGCATCAGAGCTGGCCTCTCGGATGGGCTTTTTGGGTTTTCCTTAATCACATGTTTAATTTTCTTCTCTAAGAATTTCCTGGGAAGGCTGATTTTCTTCTGAACATATTCATGAAAACGTTCATGGATGCTACCAAGGAGGCTAGTCCAGGCAGCAGGACCAGCACTGCTGGAAAGCCCATTTCTGACGTGTTTAGAGCCTGGTTATTTAGGACGGATGGACTAAGTCATGTTTCCACAGAGCTATTTCCTTTTAGCTCACTTACATGAAATTACTATGACGTTTAGTTGAGAAAAAATATGTTTAAAACAGATGGTGCAAAAGAATATTCTGCCAAGTCACTTTTATGATCCATATTTGCACTAATATTGTCATTGAAGCCATGTGTTCTGATGAGTGAGTGTTAACAGTGGGCTAGAGCCAAATGTCTTTAACGGTGATTTTTCTTCCGTTTTGCTTCAGTATTATATTTTCAGGAGAGCAAGCAAAAACTTAGCACATGGGAGCTAGTTTGACTGTTGCACCAAGCACAGCCTGTCAGACACACATTTGCTATGTCAGTCAAACTCAGCCTTCAGTAGGAAGACTGGGGTGGCTGTTGTTGTGAAATAGGTTTGGAAAACACTGTCTAGTTTTAAGGCAGAGGGTGCTGAATTAGTTACATGTGCTTTTAGAATAGGGTTTTATTTTGAAATAATATTCATGCTGTTTTCTGAAAGTCAGATTGGTGTTTATGTTCGATTAACAGTAGGGGTTTTTGGTCAATATCTCAGTGAAAGAGCCCTGCTTATTAAAATTGAAATTACTAAATTGTATTTCTTTGCTGTAATAATCTGAACTCCTAGATTACACTGAAATGAGCACACTGCAAATCTGGGGCCAAGCTGTATGTGCCTGACTGTTGTAAAACATCCAGAGATGTCCCTTCGAAGTGACATAAGCAATTTTTGTAATTAATAAAGATGTAACAAGTGGTACAGACACATCCTATGTATGGAGCTGTGACACTGCAGCATCTGCTCTGGGTCAAACAAACAAATGGCAACACAGCTGTGTTGAAGCACCAAAAACACGTTCCCTGACATGACATATAGAAGCCATTAGTAACTGCCTGCAGATCTGTGGTAGCAAAGGTCAAATAAGAATAATAGGGTCACTCAAGGAAATAGGCTTTTCCATTAATATGAATCTTTGGATGAGATTTGCAAAGTAGCCAGAGACTTTGTTTACTTTAAATCTTCAGGTTCACCTGGAGAAGTTTTAGAGAAATCTCAGATTCAGGAAATAGCTTAACTATCAGAAAAGCAGCTTACTTTTCAAGTGACTAAAGATGGATGTAAAACTGATTATGATCTGCTTTTCAAATTGTTAAGATACTTCAAAGAGTGTGTCCAGTGTTATATAATACACAGCATCACAGGAGATAAATAGTAGGCACAGAAAAAAAAAAAAGTAGGTGTGAGATCTAGTTTAGATTGCTCATATTTTAATCTACATTTAAATTCTTTGTGATCCAATCTTCTATTATTCTTGAAAGGCATCCAGTGGTGATAGAGCACTTCTCTGATTAATTAGGACAAGATCGACTTAATGTGCCAATTGGTTTGGTCATATAACTTTTTGTGAACAAAATGGTTAGCTTTTTTTTTTTTCTTCTCTACCATGTGTAAAATCAAATGCTCATCTTAGGTCTTTTTGACTGTGATTTAAGTCACCGTCTTCTGTGAGGACAGCACTTTGGGGAAGAAAAGGAAGGAAAGAGGGGAAGAAGAACCTCCTTAAAATAATTAGTGAAGAGATTACTACTTAGTAACTCTAATTATTAGAGAAATCCTATTAAATTAATGCCAGTGATTTAATATTGTAAAAACCTGCTATAGCAGAATTTCTGTTAGTGGGCTTTTGTTTAGAAGACTGTTCAAGTATGAACATTGACTTTCCTTAATAGTGTTTGGCCTAGAAGATGCAGTAAAGAAAGTTGCTGGAAAATAAGTAAAAATGTAACTTTGTTTTCAGTATGTCTTTCTTTTCCGCTAAATATTTTAAGGAAGCTTGCAAAACATGAAGAAAATAGGTAAAGAAATGAAAGCAATATGGTTTCTAATGTTCCCATCTCCAGGCATTTTCAAATGATGAAGCTAGTCACAAAATCACGAGTCTGTGAAGTAAAAAGCTGCAAGAATATAAACCCTTATATACGTATCTTTTCAGATTTATATATTGCTCTTTAACCTTTTCCAGTTCTCAGGCTGATCTCCGCAAACAAGAGACTAGTAGTTACCACCCTCCCTCCTTGCCAAGAAAATTGAAATTGCTATGAAATTGCATTATGTCAGGACATGGGCTCTTTCTTTACTGTTCTTTTTCCCTTCCCTCTGTCCTAGATATTATAATAAAATTAAATCAGATCAAGATCAACATTATCTGTGCTCTTTCTTCCGGTATCTCTCTGCTTTCTCCCAGTTTTCTGATGCAGCACAACTTAGAGGAGCTGCAAAGTTGTTTTGTGTCCCTGCACAGCCATCCAGAAGTGCAGGCAAAAAGCCTGGAGTTGGACCTATTACAGATATATCCTATGGGGAAATATTTAAGGGAAGAGTTTCTCCTGCCAGGCAAGCTGTGAATGTTTTGGTGAACAGGGGATGCTTGCCAGGGAGATGCTCTGTTGTGGTGTGTGGACCGTCTTTGAACCCTGAATTCACTTTTGCTGCAGCTATGGGGGGAGCAGGCAGGAGCCCAGGCCTTGGCTGGCAATGTGCATGGGAAGAATAACACAGGAGCCCCGTCCCATATCTCCTTCTCCCATAGCTTTGCTCCCAGCACCGCGTTGCAGCCAGACCCCATCGAGGGGTCCATAAGGGAGAGGTGCTCCAGCCCCCTGATCATCTTTGTGGCCTCTTCTGGACCTGCTCAAGCAGGTTCATGTCTTTCCCGTGTTGAGGGCTCCAGAGCTGAACACAGCTCTGCAGGTGGGGTCTTACCAGAGTAGAGTAGAGGGAGAGAATGCCCTCCCTCGACCTACTGGCCACACTTCTCTTGATGCAGTCCAGGACACGGTTACCTTTCTGGGCTGCAAGCACACATAGCCAGTCTTCCATCCACCAACACCCCCAAGTCCTTCTCCTCAGGGCTGCTCTCAATTCACTCATCACCCAGCCTATATTTGTGCTTGGGATTGCCTCAATCCATATGCAGAACCTTGCCCTTGGCCTTGCTGAACTCCATGAGGTTTGCCCGGGCCCACCTCTCCAGCCTGGCCAGGTCCCTCTGGATGGGATCCCTGCCCTCCTGCGTGTCACCGCACCACACAGCTCGGGGTCGTTGGCAAACTTGTGAGGGTGCACTCGGTCCCACTGTCCCTGTCACCGACAAAGATGTTAAACAGCGCTGGTCCCAACACCAATCCCTAAACAATGCCATTTGTCACTGCTCACCATCTGGGCATCGAGCCGTTGACCCCAACTCTTTGAGTGTGACCATCCAGCCAATTCCTTATCCACTGAGTGGTCTATCCATCAAAGCCATGCATCTCTGATTTAGAGACAAGGATTTTGTGCAAGACAGAGTCAAATGCTTGCATAAGTCTAGGTGGATGATGTTAGTTGCTCTTCCCTTCTCCACCAATGCAATAACCACAGGGTAGAAGGTCATCAAATTTGTCAGGTACCATTTGTCCTCAGTGAAGCCATGCTGGCTGTCACCAGTCACCTCCTTATTTTCTATGTGCCCTAGCATGATCTTGCCGCACACAGAGGTGAGACTGACTGGCCTGCAGTTGCCCAGGTCTTCCTTTCTTCCCTTTCTGAAAATGGGGGTTATGTTTCCCCTTTTCCAGTCAGTGGAATGCCACAACTTTTCAAATATGATGGATAGTGGCTTAGCCACTTCATCTGCCAGTTCCCTCAGGACCCATGGATGCACCTCATCAGGTCCCAGGGACTTTTGCACTGTCAGGTTCCTTAAATGGTCCACATTCTCACTAGTCTCCCTTTTATCACCAATGTAGCAATAGAAGCTATAGCTACTGTATAGGTCTAGAATCTGTGTGCATGTCTATATGGTCATATAAGAATGTGGCTGCTAGGACTTTTTTTGAAGAGTCTTTAATAATACAAATGAATTATGCTTTTTTCATGCAGTTATGTCTAATCCTTTATGAATGATTTATCTTCAAATTAAATTGAAAATATAGGGTCATATGTATGGATAGGTTTTGTTGTGTACCTTGCATTAGATTTCACTCATCTCTGAATAATGGAGGATATCTCTCAGAGACCCGCTTAATTTATCCAAAGGTCAGGTAGACTGCTAATTCTTACCCAGCATTTTTTTTTTTTGTTGTTCTAGCTATATGCC